CACACGGGCTTTCTCTGGTCGTGGTGAGCAGGGGCTATGCTATAGCTGTGGTGTGCAGGCTTCCCTTGCAGTGGCTTCTCTTGTTGTGGAGCACAGGGTCTAGAGGAAATGCTCAGTAGTTGTGGCCACGGGCTTAGTTGGCCCTTGGCATGTGGGATCTTCCCAGATCAGGGATCGAACCCGTGTCCCTTGCATTGACAGGTGGATTCTTAACCACTTAACCACTGGACCACCAGAGAAATTCCAAGACTGGCCTTTTAAAAACATTAATTTAAACTTTATTTTGTTATTTATTTTTAAGAGTGGTTTGAGGTTCATGGCAAAACTGAGGGGAAGATGCAGACATTTCCAGTATATTCCCTGCCCCTACACATACATGGCCTCCCCTACTAGCAATACCCCCTCCCAGAGTGGTCCCTTCATTACAGTGGATGAACATGAGACTGGCTTGTCATGCCCAGGTCCAAGGATGCCACATATTCTGCCGTGCCCAGAACAGCCCTCTTCAAGGAGGACTTACCTAGCTCAGCACCAGCTGTAGCCCTACTGGGAAGCAACGCTGGAGTGGGCGCAGGCAAGCAGGAGCAAGCTGCAGGCTTTGCCTCTCACATCCTTGGAGGGGATGGGTCTGTGGACTCTTGATTGGCTTATATGTCAAGGAGTGTGGTTTATGGCCAAGCAGAGGTGAGTAAGAGGGCCTTGAGGGCTGGACAGCCGACTGACGGCACTGTGCTCTTTCCGATGTGGGTGAAGTTGAATAAGAGTGCTCACAGCCCTGGGGAGAGGGGGAGATGATGAATTATCTGTAATCTGTCTGGGTGAGTCTAATGAGGTGACACACTCTGGTCCCCATTCTCAAGGTTCAAGAGGGATGTCTTTAAAAAAGGGTCTCAGGGACCTGCATCTGAAAGCAGCTGCTCATAAGCAGGAGAATGAAGCAGAATTGATCAAATGTCCTTTGAACAAATCCATTTTCTCAGTCTGTACCTTCAAGGAGGCAGCGCTATGGAATGGTGCACAGGCTCTGGGGCCAGATAATTGGGTTGAATTCCAGCATCACCACTTTTTCGCTAGTGTGTGCCCTTGGGCACATCACTGCTCTATGCCTCCATGCTCCCATCTATAACATGGGGAGAAATTAGTACCAACCTCACAGAGGCAGTATAAATAAAGAAGTGAACTTTCCAGAGCCCAGTACATGAGAACCATTCAATAATAAAAATGATGATGAGGATGGTAATTTTTCTAGCTCCTCAGCCTACTGTGTGTGTGTGTGTGTGTGTGTTAATTATTTTGGGAACTGAGTAGACAGTATGTTGAGCAAATTTTTCTATAGTTTTTTTTTTTCTAGTCTTTCATCTCTCTCTTCCTCTTTCTGTCTCCCTCCTTTTAATCATATGTTGGATCTCTAGATTGAGTCTTTAACTTTCATACCTTTTCTTTCCTATTTACCATCGTCTCCCTTTCTGTTTGACTTTTTTACATTTTCTTCCCCTGTTCTGTGGAAACCGCTCTCATCAAGGCCACTTTCTTGTTGTCAAATGCAGTGACTCGATTTCATTCTTCATCTTACATGTCCTCTGTATATAATGCTCTTCGGCTTCTAGAAGTTCTCCTTCAATAGTAGACAGACTGACTTCAAAGACAGTAGGCTTTTCTCACTTCTTTCTACTTTTCTGAGCATTTCTTCTCACCCTTTTCCAGCTCCCTTTCCTTTGTGTGTATTTTAAGTAGTTGGTCCTCCAGAGCTCTGAAACCTGCTTTATTCTTTTATTTCCTTCTAGTCTTTGTGAGCAACCCCAGCCATCTCTTTCCATGGCTTATTGTGGTTGTTTAACTGCTGAGTTGTGTCCAACCCTTTTGTGACCCCATGGACAGTAACCTGCCACGCTCCTCTGTCCATGGGATTTCCCAGGCAAGAATACTGGAGTGGGTTGTCATTCCCTTCTCCATGGGATCTTCCCGACCCAGGGATGGAACCTGCATCTCTTGCATTGGCAGGTGGATTCTTTACCACTAGTGCCACCTGGGAAACCCAACTGTAGAAGGACCCTTCTACCTATGGCTCTTTCCTAAGCCCTTTTCAAATTCTAGAATAAATAATGTCAAAATAGTCAATGCTGTTTTAGAGCACAGCCTTTTGAAACATTTTATTGACCACTCGCTTTGTCCATGGTTGATGAAAGTTGATTTGAATGTCCAGTGTTCTATTGTCTCCAAACTCTTCCTGCCTTGATGCCCTTCCTCCATGTTGCCATAACAACTCACATCCTATAATGCTGAGAACAGAGGAGCTGAGGTCTGGGGGCCTTCCGTTGCTTGGTCTTTGGTGAACTGGATCCCTGACTCCCTATTTCTTCCTTTGCCCCTTTGTTTTGCTGAAGCTTCCACTTGCTACTGCTTCCTAAGAAAGGGCAAGGTAAACTTTTCCATGTCTGCAAATACATCTCTTTTGCCCTTCCATTGGGTGAATACATTTTTAGGTATAGAATTCTAGGTTGAATATTTGTCCATCAGAATTTTGAAGCAATTTGCTCAGTTAGAATAACAGTATAAGGTTGTTATGGAGAATTTTGCTATCTTTCTGTTTCCAGTTCCTTTGGAAATATGACCTGTCCCACCCTCCTGGAAGCTCTTAGCGTCTTCTCCTTATCTTTATAGTTCTGGCATTTCATAATTTTGTCTGTGTGTGTGTCCACTTGTATGCATTCATGCTCTCATTTATGTGTTAACCCTCCCAGAGACCCTGTGGTCCTTTCTTCCATATCTTCCTCCTCTTTGTAAGCAAGATTTGCTTCTTTGCTTTTTCATCTTTCCAGATGTTGTTGAAATCTCATTTCCTCTTGCTTCCCCTCTTCCTCTTTGTGCACCAATATTTATTTAATTCCTTTGTATGTTAATGTGAAGAGGAGGTAGAGACCTGTGCTTTAGCCATGTTTAACTGGAAATCACTCCGAAGTGTTTCAAAAACGTTTACAATGTCTTTTCAGGAGCTGGTCTCTTTCTGCAAGGCACGTGATGGCTGCAAGAATTTCGGCAACCCCTTCCTGCGACTTTTTCAAGTGGTCTCCAAGCACAGTCAGACATTTGTTACAGATCATAACAAGCCTGTCTGTGCTTATGGAGTGGAATTCAGGGTGCTCAGTTTGCATTTACCCATCTTGCATTTAGTTCAGCCTCATTGGTGCTTCACCTTGCTATCTGATGGGAAATATTCTTCCCATAAACTTCAGTAAGATGTAATGGATTTCTACAGTGGAAATATTGTTCGAGCAGCAAAACCAAATCACAGCAGGTGCTTTGTCTTGGGACCATGTGTCTTGCAAAGCAGCCATTTAAAACGCCACTTGTAGAAAGCCACAAACAGTCACAGCTAATTCACTTTACAGGAGTTTTATTTGTACGTAGGGGAGAATTGCACCAGCAAACAGAATCATTGCTCTACCAAGATTGCAGCATTATCTTTGTCAACTTGTGTTCACAGATCACCTTAGGTCCTAGGCTTTTTCTTTGGGGTAGAAAATGGTGGCATTGGGGTTGGTGAAGATGCAAATGGTATTCTTTGAAGCCATTGGGGCAAATATAGTGCTCTCGAGAGTGGGACATGTGACTTGGCTCTGGTGGTCCAGTTGTTAAGAGTCCTTCTGCCAATGTGGGGGACACAGGTTCGATCTCTGGCCTGGGAAGATGCCACATGCCGTTGGTGAAGCTAAGCCTGTACACCACAACCACTGAAGCCCATGTGCCTAGAGTCTGTGCTCCGCAACAAGAGAAGCCACTGCATTGAGAAGCCTGAGCACCGCAACTAGAGAGTAGCCCCCGCTCACAGCAACTAGAGAAAACTGGTGCACAGCAACAAAGATCCAGCATAGCCAAAAATTTTTAAAAAACAACAAAAGAGTGGAACTGCTGTCTCAGCTGCACATAGGCTAATAGTGTTCCAGCCTCAGTGCGGTCATTTGTGAAAGCTGGTCCAAGTTAGATGCAAGCCTGCTTTGGACTTATGCAAGACAGGATACAAGCCTGTCTTGGGCCAGGGAGGCTTGAGAGCAAGTGAAAGTGTTAGCCTCTCATTTGTGTACAACTCTTTACGACCCCATGAACTGCAGCCCACCACGCTCCTCTGTCCATGGAATTCTCCATACAAGAATACTGGAGTGGGTTGCCATTTCCTTCTCCAGGGAATCTTCCCAACCCAGGGGTTAAACCTGGTCTCTCATATTACAGGCAGATTCTTTGTCCAATGAAAATTACTTTCTACTCTTGTAGGAATCTGATGGCCATGCTGGAAAGGTTCTTAGCCTCCAAGGACTTAGCTGGACATGGGACTCCCAAGGAAACTCTTTAAATCGTAATGCCCAAGATACATTCCCAGACCAACTGTGTCAGAATCTTTGGGAGTGGGACCCAGCATCAATAGCTTTATTTTCTATTTTTAAAATATTTATTCATTTATTTGGCTGTGCCAGGTCAGTTGATCTTTAGTTGCAGTTCATGAGATCCAGTTCCCTGCCCAGGGATTGCACTTTTGCTCCCTGCATTGGGAACTCAGAGCCTTAGTCCCACTGGACCACCAGGGGAGTCCCCACAATGACAGCAGTTTTGAAAGCTCTTGAAGAGACAAAGGATAGGGTGCATACTACTACTGGGTCATTTTTTAACATCTTGTTGTTGTTATGTAAGTGAAGAAATTTAACTTTTAATTATTTTGAACTAATTTAGATGGGAAGAAAGTGGAAATAATCATGTCATTATTATTTAGATTCACTCTTGCAGCTGTTTCCATAGCATGGTGGGGTAGAGTTTTCTCCCTCTCATGAGAGAGAATTAAGGGGTTATTGTCAATTCAGAATCTAGGGCATTTGAGGAATATCCTTCTAGTGGATTTTGCTCCCATGGGAAATATGATGGGAAAAAATAATGGAAGGGTCCATGGGCAGGGATGGGCACTAGCTGGATGTGACTTCACCCGGGTCCCGTGTCTCTCCTGGGGTGTGCAGGTCCTGTGGCTGTCATCAGTGGCGAGGAGGACTCGGCTAGCCCCCTGCATCACATCAACCATGGCATCACCACGCCCTCGTCGCTGGACGCCGGGCCAGACACGGTGGTCATCGGTATGACCCGGATCCCAGTCATCGAGAATCCCCAGTACTTCCGTCAGGGACATAACTGCCACAAGCCAGACACATGTGAGTACTGTGGGAGACTCTTGTCCCTTCTGGGGTTGGAGGGGGGTGGATAGGCCATGGAGGCGGGGGTTCTGGAGCATTCTGGGGTGACCTACCACCTGCTAACTTCCCACTCTCTAAGAGACCCTCCCTCTTTGTCTAAAAACTCGATGAACAGCCTGGGCAAGGGGATGCCATGGGCCAGAGGCCCCTGGGAGGAGCGGGCTCGGGGCAGGGAAAGGCGAATCAGCCTGGAGACAGCAGGTCCAGCCCCACTGGGAGAGGGGCTTCCAGTAAGGCAGGGGACACAGGCACAGCTGGTTGTATCTGCAGATACCTGGCCTGTGTGTGCAGGAATCTGTGCCCAGACTACGGCCCCCAAGGTCATCAGGCCCTCCACCCATGCCTCCCTAAGAGGGGAAGGGAGGGAAGGGCAGCGAGTACCTTTGGAATGGAAACATCTCTCCAGCTGCCCCTCCAGTGCCCCGAAGGGTACAGTCTGAGAGTCGGATCAGAGACCCTGTGCTCGGACCCCTCCCCTCCTCACCGTAGATGTGAGATCAGAGGGCTCAGGCACCTGCTTCTTACTCTCTTACCTCCCGGTGGCTCAGGCCCTCCCTTTGTACTTCTGCTGAGTCTGCGAGGGTCTCTCCTGGCCCCTGGAGCCTCGGTGGCTCTGCCCTCCCTCCGGCAGGTGTTCCCCTTGCTGTGTCCCCAGGTTCAAATCTAGGCTCAGTGGCCCCGGGGCACACCCCTCCACTCCCACTGCACCTGCTCCCCCAAAATGGTCAGTGATGTCCAGAGAGGGAGCCCTGGAGACTGCCTTAGAGCTGGAAGGGACAGGAGAGATGGGTTAGGTTAAGGCCTCATCTGCAGACAGGAAACCCAAGGTTTAGGGAGGCTGTGAGTCCCCCTCTCCTGCCCACAGGCTTCTGCCAGTCCGTTCGCTTCATCCGGTCAGCTAGTCCAGGTCAGCCCAGGAAGAAATGCCCCTGGTCTTGCTGTCCCCCTGGTGGAGCTCTCTGTATTTGGGGTGCACTCTTGCAGTTCACAGAACTCTTGCTGCTCCCACTAGTCCATCTGATAGCAGAGCAGGCATTCGGCCACCTCATCTGCCTCCGCTTCTGTTTTTCTGGCTCTGTGTTTAGCGAGAGGATTGCCACTGTGGGAGGGACTGAGCTTGAATCTGGACAAGGTCATCATTTGCCTCCCAACCTTGAGAGTCCTCTAGAATCTGTCTCAGTGTTTGTTGCACTCCCCCATCAGTACCAGTTAGAGGAAGGATACTTGGGTTCTAGAGCAGGGCTGGGCAAGGGAAGAGAGATACCTGTGTTTCGGATAAACAGTGGGGAAGACCATGTCAAGAATGGTTCTACTCTGGCTTTAAACCTTTCGCCTCAGATCAGGATCATCCTCGACTGACCTGGGTGTGGCCATGAGGAAAGTTCTTCCTTGATGCTTGCGTGAGTCCGAGCTTAGTCTGGGGTTGGCATTGCTGAGTTTTCTAGAGTGATGTTGGTACTTGAATAGAGGCGTGGCACTGCTGTGTTGAATATGCAACTGGTTCTCCTTATTTCAAGGATCCTATAAAATCACCATGAACATGAAATTAGCAAACCCTGGACCATTGTTCCTGGGGAAATCCAGGGTTAGGTTCCTTGTGAGCCTCTGGTCACAACCTTTTTATCAGCTGATCAAGACATAACCTGTATTGCGTTTGCTTCTGTTTGAGGATACTTTAGTACATATTATTGATTCATTAGCATTGAGCTCATAGTGACCAACAGCACCGTGACTCATGCCTGGACCAAGCTTATCAAACACACCTGTTTTCTCCATACGGCACATTATAGCATTCACACTCATGGAAAACAGTAGACCTCGATTCAGCACTCTGCTTGGGGGCTGCTTTAAACAGCGAACTCGTCCACAGAAAACACAAATATGCGATGAAAGTGGCATTGAATAAACCATGAGAAGGATACTCGTCTACTGCAGAAGAGCCACAACAAGAAGGCAGAGAGCATGGCTTTTTAGCCTTAATTGGGAACGTGCATGTGGGTGGGTGACCCCTTAAATGCTTGTGAATGACTGTGAAAGTGCCGTGTGTGTGGGTTTATGGGGTTACACATCAATTGTAGCAAGTAGATGAATTCGTGAAGGCAGAACCCAGGGAAAATGAGGATGGGTTGTGTTCCTGTTAGTGGGAGCTCTGTATCTCAGGGTAGAGGAGGGTCACGTGGGCTCCTGATCCCAGGGGGAGTGACTCGGTGTCCACACGGGGAGAATCTGATATGTGGGAAGGTGGCTTCTTCTAGGTTGTTGGAATAAGTTGGCACCGTGGAGAGACCTGTGGGGTCTGAATGTCCTTTGAGGTCAAGACCCAGCCCCCAGCCAGGGAGCTGTCACCCTAGGAACTGGTGCAGAGGAGAAGCATCCCCGAAACTCCTTGGGTTTGTGACTCAAGGCAGGCAGCCTCTCTATGGTTCTGACAGCATTTCTCTGTATAAACGACGGGGTCAGCAGAGACAGCGAGAAAGCAGGTTTAGCGACAAGACTTGAGGGGGCAGAGCACAAACAAGACCTCACAGAGTAGAATCCCTCACTGACTCCAGATCATCCAAACCCTCCGATAGTTAGGGGAGATGCCCTTTTCAGGGAAGCAGCACGTTGTGTCCCGTCAGTAGACAGCAGACGGCTCTTAATTGTTTTCAGAAAACACGTGTGGCAGGACAAACAATGTTCAGGAGCCTTGTAACGGGATTTGGTTAATCCTCCCCCTGTGAATCTGTGGCTGACTCACACAGTCGGGGAGGGGAGCCCCCGGCCCTCTCCTCGCTGAGGTTTACGGGCTGGGAAACAGCAGGTCTCTGATTACAAAGCCTTCATCAGTCAAAGGCAAGGGACTCCAAGACACATCCCCGTGTGCGAGGAGACACCATCATAAATAATTAAAACCACATGCGCCTGGGCGGATAAACAAGCAGCGGGCGTTTACGATGCTGCAGACGGGGCCGGGGTCACTCCTTTGGGGGTGATGGCAAGAAGCAGGGGATTAAGCAAAGAGAAATGCTCATATCTCAGGGGCCCCCCATGGGGGCCTCTCTTGTCTGATTCTCTTCCTCATCTCATTTAGCAATGTGGACCGTGGGAAGACATCATAGGCACACAGCTACCTGACTTCAGGCTTCATTTCCGCAAGTCCCCCATTGATGGATTTAGCACAAAAATGCTTTTCTTTTCTTTACACACATGTTTATCATAATCAGATGGGACCTCTCCGGCTGGAGTGATAAAGATGCTGCTCTTCTTCCTGTTTCTCGCTGTCTTCAGTCTGGGCCATAGAATTTTTCATGGTGTGTCAGAGTTGCTAGGATGTTTAGGGATCACCCAGTACCATTCGCTATCAGATGCTCGTAGCCTCTCACCTGTGTCCCCGAGCATGCTGCATATGGCATTGTCTTTATTTGAAATGCACTTGGCCTTTCCAGGGATTCTGGAAGAGCTGAATAAAGATGCTCCTACTCAGGCTTGGATACAGAATCTGCAGTCTAGTGAGGCCTCCCTCATCTTTTATTTAAAGCCCCCTGATGCTCAAAAGCATCAGGAAACCAGTCTGCCTCCTTGTCACCCAGCTGATTTGGGGCTAGGTCCTTCTGAAGAAGACAGGGAAGGAAATGGAAACCCACTCCAGTATTCTTCCCTGGAGAATCCCTTGGGCAGAGGAACTCTGCAGGCTCCAGTCCATGGGGTCACAAAGAGTCGGACATGACTGAAACGACTTAGCACGCTCACCTTGTGACTAAGTCACCGAGAGGCTGGTCTAGATGGGTCACTGGGGAGAAGTTTCAAGCTCTTTGTAGCCACACTGGGCAGTTGGTGACTTTTGTTCCTCTTGTGACAGCTCTGGGCTGCAGTCATGGTGCCTGTACTGAGTTGGACTGTGGGCATCGGTGTTAGGATCACGCTCTGGCTCATTCCCATCAGCTGGTTGGGAGGCTACTTGGCTCTGTTGAAGGCCCTGGGGTTCTCTGCTCCTCCCCTTTTCCCGAACCTATTCTCAGAAGACAGTTGTGCCTCTTGGTTGAGAGACCAGGGGCCAGCTGGGGTTGCTAACCCATGTTAGCAACCCATTCATTTCCTGCTCTCTGTGCCCAGGCCAGGCTGTCTGCCTTTATTCCCAGGTTGTTTCTGTCTCAGTGGAAACCGTGCCCCATCTTCCCAGCATCAGTGCTCCCACCTCTCCATCCCTCTGCCCCTCCTGGTGGGCCTGTAGTCAGGGACTCTCCCCGATCCTGGTCCTTTTAGACACCGTCTCCTTCTGCTTGGCCCTGCACCTCTTCATGTTCCCTGCTGCATAGCTCCATTTCCCCAGGAATCCCTGAATCCTACCCCCTCCGTCTCTTGGTAAAACTCGAGCATATTCCTTTGGGGTCTCTCCCCTTTGTTAGTATCGTCGTCATTCACAGAGTGCTGATTTTTCTCCTTTTCATCTATTCAATAAATATTCATGGAGGGTTTGTGTCAGGCCTTCTTTTTGGCTCTGGAAACAATGGGGGGAAAGGCACGCATGGTCCCTACCCTCGGGGGCTCACTACCCGGTGGTCCCTACCCACTGGGGCTGGTGTCCAAGACACAGGATGGAACACTCTGTCCCCCCTGGGGCCTTGTGAAGGCCTTACCTCGGTCCTTTCTGCTGATGACTCACCCGCCTTTACCCCTGGACACTTCTTTCCAGGTCTCCCTCCAACTGCATGCCTCCGAATCTCACCACAGTGTAATTCCTGCTTCAAGTGCCCGTCTCTTCTCCCCATGTCTCCTCCCTCCCTCCCTCTTCTTCCTTCCTACACCTATTCATCACTCAACCATTGGCTCATTTCCAGCCTCCCATGAGACCTTCCTGGACCCATGCTATTGCAACATGATCTTTCCCTCCTGGGAAAGGAAAAGCCATGCACAATAGTCTTGCATGACTTTAAGTCAAATCTTCGGTCATCATGTCACTTCTCAAAGAGGTGGGT